CAAATCAATCATACAATGTAGAAAAGAAAGAACTTTTTGGCACTCACTGACATCTTTTGGTAAATAATATCCAAAAAAGTGAAAGCTCTGTCTCGTGATAAAAGAGTGAAGTGACATCTCCTTTTTAGCAGCTGTCAGGCCAGTTAGTACAATGTACCTTTTAAGCTTGGTGATATTAAGCTTGGTCAGATTATTTAAGGCCGGTACAGACACTGGCATGGTCACTGATACTAAGTCATAGACACTGGGATAGTCACTGATACTGAGTCACACAGCCTGGCTGCCATGTTGGCTCATATCTGTGAAACTGGAGGATTGTCCCTTGTGAAGGAAAGTACCAGGGGCCTTTATAGTTGTATAAACTACACAACAGAACACTTGTCATCTACATCCAAGAGAGTTTAAGCAGTATTAGGTGTGTTCTGTGTATATACCTTAAATAAATCTATCAGTTGTCAAAATTGAAGTAGTTGTAAAAGTTTTTAAAACAACCAGTTTTGAGATTTCAGCATTTGTGAATAACCTTAAATGGTACAAAGGTCTACGGTTAATAAAAAATTCTGTATAAAGGCAGTGTTGGAACCAAGTGTTACTGCAGCCTCTGATACATAATAAGACAATATTGCACTGAAATATAGAGCTGTGTATGTCTACCAGATTTACAATCAATAAAATACAATTCATCTAATGGATGCTTTGTGATGAACTGAACATGAAATGAAAGTAAAGCAGGCAAGTGCAGTGCATTAGTGGGAACTTCCGAAACAGAGCTGCTATTTGCTATGCTATCTGATCAGTAGTTTAAGTGAAAGTTAAAATACTCCTTTTTTATTTCAGCAAATTCCACAGAAACACCTGAATCAAGCATCAATTTATCCAATAACAAGTACTCTGTGTAGCAATGCATGATTCATCAACTGTCACTGTTGTGACTTGTTCCTTTATTACCATGAACACACAGGAAGTGCTTCTGTTAATATCCATCAGCGCACCAAATGTGGATTCATCTGCAGCTGACAAAAGTCCCTATCAAACTCTTTCCTCCTGTATGAGTAATGTTTGTTATAAATTAGATTTAGTTGGGTCAGAAAAAGCTCCAAACTGCAGAGAAGTCAGAAAGTACTGAAAGACAGAGAGTTATCTACAACAAGGAAAATGCATCTACAACCTCATATTCTGTATTAACAGTGCTGACAAGACAGATAGTGCACAATAGAGTCCTAGAAGGGTAAATTATCTTTTTATAATCTTAACAGTGAATCCTGGAGACCTAGATGCTGTAAATATACGACATTGAGGCTCCTGGAACCCTAGAGTCACAATTTAAGCCCAAAGACCCATACATTTTGCCCTCATTTATTTTAACGTTGCGACATTCAGCAGCAGCAGGACGGTAACATCCACGCTGGCCGAACTGGTAAATTATTTATCAATGGACTGTGTATAACTGAATAGGCATTTCAGCTGTTTAAACCTCTTCCTTGCTTCTCTGAAATGTTCCTTGTGAACCATTTCTTTCTGAAACATGACAACTTGTGTTGTATTTTTTGTAATAACAGAACCACACTAACTTTGTGTTTAAATTTGTGTTTATAGCAGCTTTTTCATTTTTTGATATGTGATAGAAAACATCTTTAACAGTCTTTGTTAAATAAATAATATATAAAAGTCTCTAACTTGACCATCTCAAATAATAGCAAAAACTTCAAATTTTAATTTATAGAATTCCTCTTTCCATCCCAACCTCCACTGAAGTATTTCATGTTCATTTAAGTCTCAGTGTATTGATTTTTTCAATTGCAGGACATTTAACTACATCCTGAGGGAACTGCCCAAAGTACCCACCCATGTGCCGGTGTGTGTTTTGGGAAACCACAGGGACATGGGCGAGCATCGTGTCATCCTCCCTGATGATATAAGGGACCTGATTGCTGGACTGAACAGGTAAAAATCAGCACTCGGCTAATTCTCGCCTCATTTTCTTTTAGGGATAGAAACAAACTCTCTGTGATGGTTAATGTTGAAGTTTCACCGGCCTGATAATGGCGTTGGAATCAGATTCATGTAGCTGTTGAAATAATGCACAGTCATTTTTTATACAACCTAAATGACAATTCTATCAATTTGTTTTATATGGTCCCTGCAGGCTCCATCTGCATTTCATTATGCGATGATGCATTGACAAGCAGGGGTGGCACAAATACATTTTAGAGAATGACAGCAACAAGGAGAAAATGATGGAGACTCACAGAAAAGTATTTGATTATTAGAAATTCGAGATGAGGGGACACATTTATCCAACTGTAACTAGAAAAAAAAACTGCTCACATTTTATGACTCTTGTTGAGATGTCAAAATTCGGATTTTGTGTTGACGTTTTTTTCCTTATCCACACACAATTCTTCTTCATACAAGTTTCCTCAAATTAGCAGAAACAATTGACAGACAGATACCTTCCTAGATCTGTAAGAAGTCCTTCAGGAGCATTGAACAATTGGCTGGCTCTCCCTGGCTCCTCCACTCTGTGCAGAGCTATACTAATCAATATATTTGTAATAATAATGATATTACGCTGTGTATGTTACATGGGGTCATTTATAGTTACAATCTAACAGACAATTCTCACCAAGTATGAAGGTGCATCTCTAGGTGTGGGATATATTAGACAGGAAGTCTCGTAACCAACTTGACTGCTAGAAAAATAGGCAGCTTTAAAGACTTTGATAAGAACCAAACCATCATGTCCAGACTTCTGGGTCAAATATTATGCCAACCATTTTATTCTTAATATACTCAAAATCATTAATAGGACATGGAGGCCACATACAGTATAAATATACTTTCACAGTTTTGACATCTATATAACTAATGACGAGTTAACTATTTATACTTGTGTTTTACAGACCAATGGGATCCTCTTATATCCACTATGCTGAGTCGTCTATGAAGAATGGCTTTGGCTTGAAATACCTGCACAGATTTTTCAACATCCCCTTCTTGCAGCTACAGGTTTTTTTTTTTTTTATCTTATTTTGCTATTGTCATTTGTATCATGATCATTTTATTACTAGTTTTTCAACACTCAACTGGTATGGATGGAATATTTACATGCTTCTGTAATTAAGACAGTACAGTTCTGTAAACAGGACAAAATGATAATGGGATGAGCATACAGTGTGAATATGAAGGCTTCATCTCCACTCTGTGCCCAGGTATTCATGGAATGTGTGTATGTTTACAGAGAGAGACCCTCCTGAGGCAGCTGGAGACCAACCAGCTGGACATGGACGCCACCCTGGAGGAGCTCTGTGTCCAGCAGGAGACTGAGGACCAAAACTATGAGATGTACGATCTCTTTTCTGTTTTTCTGCCAGCTTACTGCCGCATGCAGCCCCTTCTGGGACACCATGTCTTTACTTTGCAGTTTGTGGTGCACACCAGTTAGTAAATTGTTCTGGTTGGAACTCAGGGCTCCATTCTGCTTGAAACACACACACACATAGCTGTGCTTACATCCAGCTTCTAAATCAGCTTCTGATCAGGTTTCCTTTAAGTTTTGATTCTCTTTGTGACAAAAAGGTATTTTTTTTATCTTAAGAATTAATTTGTGCAGTTATTGTTCTTGGCCCTCAGACAACTTTGGCTCTGAGTTTCAAACATATTAAGGTGGTAGTGTAAGCACGAATCCTCATTTATTTGTTTAGTCAGTGGTGAGTCAACAAAATAATTTTACCAATGGACAACTTCAATCTTCTGTTTTTATAGATTTGTTAAGTTATATGCCAGATGCTTTGTATTTCTTAGTATGGCAAATTAAGCTGATCATGCTGTCCTCTATCCCTAACTTAAGATATTATTGCAGTTGAATCAGTTTGTCAACCACTCTTGCTTTGATTTCCACAGTTTCCTTGAGAACTTGGAGACTCGCAGTAAGAACTATGGCTCTCCTGGTCCAGCCAACGGTTCCTCCTCAGGCTCCCAGTCCCCCATCGTCCCTCCCAGTGGTGCCTCCACTGGCAGCTCCAGCCCCAGCACCCCTCAGCCCCCCATCCCCTCCCAAGTGCTCCCACAGTCACCGTCTGTGTCAGTGTCCTCTCCTCCACCTCCCACAGCGGTGGTTAGCGCAGCAGCTTCACCAACTGCTGAGGTAAAACCATCAGCTCAGTCTCCCGAACATCAACAGTCCTCAGCAGCATCTAGTGCATTGTCCTCCCAGAAACGTGGCTTCATCTCTCGCTGGTTTGGTTCATCACCTGCTGCTGATGCTCCTGTTCCTGCGTCAGGTGAATGTCCTCCTCTCATAACTAACACAGTCATTTGTCAAACATCTAACTAGCAGCAGAGATACAATGTGTGCTGCTATTGAAATAATTGATAAAAGCCATAAGTTCCTTTTAAATACCATAAAACAGTAAGATGTATTGCCACCACAGCATGATTTTAAATTGAAAGGGATTAGCATCGCTGCATCTATAAGTCTGATTCCCTGCCACCCACAACTAGGAGCTAGAGCTGTTCCATAGACTTGCATCTACATTATTTCAAATCATTTTGCGTCGCAAAACTGAGAAACTCATTTAGGTATGAGATGAGGGTTTGAAAAGAATCTCTGTTTCGGATCCTCGTCTCTCTTCAGCAGCTTCTCCTCGTCTCTCTCCATTTTTCTCACGACGTCTTCAAAACACGGATTGCAACCTCATCCAAGACCTCGTGATTTATCCTACACTTTTGTTAGATTTCCAAAGTGGGGACTTGTGATGGGAGCTTTGAATTGGTTTGAATTGATTCTATTGCTACTCACATTCATTTGGCTCTATGTTTTCTTCAGAGGACCCTGCTGCACCAGTGTGTCCTGCTAAGGTTCAGAGTGTGGATGATTTTGTGCCAGATGAGAGACTGGACAGGAGTTTCCTTGAGGACAGCCTGCCCTCGAAAAACAAGGGGCCTCAACCTGCACCAGCTCGAGCTGTGGACAGTGACAGGTGAGATGTTTGTTAGTAGTTAATCCTCTGAAAGGAAGCTTTTGTCCATTTCATCCGGTTGTATAAATCTTGAAATGAATTAAGTGTTAGCTTGTATCATGATGAAAATAATCAATAGTTATTTTCAGTTGGGTATGATTGATGATATTTTTGAAAAGAGCAGTTATCTTGTACTTTGTTCCAGTGATGGTGAAGGCAGAGGAAACCCCATGGTGTCTGGTTTCCAGGATGAGCTTGATCCTGATGACACTGAGCCCAGTCTTCCTCAGCCTAAGACCCTACCCCCCAGTAAAGATATCACTCTAACCAGTGACGAGGAGGAGGGAGTACCAGCAGCCCTCACCATCACACAGGACCAAGACCTGGACAGTGAACCTGACCTGAAGGCGTAAGTCTTTAAAAACCAAGACCACCCAGGGGATTACTGCTACTTGTTAATTGATAATGGGTGAATGTATGATACAAAGTTATTTACAAAGAAAAACAGACAAAGCAAAAAGAAGATGAGCATAAAGAGTAATAGAAATCAAAGAAATAGAAAAGAACTGTATTGGTTTCAGAATAATTTCTTAATAATTTGAAATAATTTCTAAAGCAATCTGTATAGAACGGAGACAGGGTTATTAAGAATACGACATTTCTGTCTCCAGATTATATAATCTCTCTGTTTCTCACCCCTATTTTATTAACTCTAAATTCACAACTGCATGAGCACGTCCTGCCAGAGATAAGATATCCACTTCAGAATAATAATTGATTCAATTCATTATTCAACTTAATCATAACAACAATTTATTTAGCTTTGTTTTAACTGTACTGAACTATTATGTAAAATATTTCTACATTGGCCTGACGCCTACTGACTTCAATTGTCAATAATTACAGATTTTTGTCATTAACATGCCTGTAAGACAGAGGCAATGGGTTTATATCATAATTATTCTAGCATGGTGTCTAATTAAGAATCCCCCAGCCCTTCTGTAAACCCTAGTAGAATTGAATGCCGTGCATTTAGATCTGCCACATATAGTTGTGTAAAGGACAATGTAACATGTTGAGTTGTAGTTAATATGTGAGTATAAAAATGTTTATATCTCAAATGCTTTTCCAGGCCTGTGATTCATATCACAAAACCAAAGGTGGCATCTAAAGCTCCAGAGCCCAGAGGTCAGACCACAGCGCCCATCTCCCTCACTTTAATCCCAGCAACAGAGCAGCCGGCCCGACACCAAGGCAAGAAGAAGGCAAACACACCCAAGGCTGAAGACTCTGACACAGACCCCGAGGCTCCTGTCGCCCAGCAAATGCTCTCTTTCATCATGGATGACCCCGACTTTGAGTCTGAAGCATCAGACACACCAAAAATAGCAACGGTAAAGTAGAGCAAATTCACAATGAAAGCATATTTACTCTGAGGTTCACTAAGCTCACTCGCTTTTTATATTTTAACATGTTTTTATTTGTATCTATATTGTATGTAAAGCACTTGCATTTCTTACATGAAAGGTGCTGCACAAGAAAAATGTATTATTATTATTACTGCTGAGCTTTGATTGAGTATTACTTAATTTGCCATTCGGTTCAATTCACAACATGATAGAAAACAGACAGAATGCACACAGACACAGCGACTAGTGCAAGTAAAGATGCAATTGCATTTCTGCCGCACTGCCACATCCGATGCCTTTTTATTTTCCTCTAATTTCTATATGTAATAGTTCATTTTTTACTGCCCTGTTCTTCGCAGGATGCATTTCCAATCAGGGATGAGCTCCTGTCCGACCTCTCTGATGATGACATGCAGATAGCCAAAGTGCCAGAACCTCTGAAGCCCACTGTGATCTCCTTTAAACAAAAGGACGATACCGATCTGTTTGGCCTCGGCATCCAAGAGGAGGCTCCGGCAGTAAAGGACAGCAGCGAGGAACAGGAAGGCAAGTCATGAAATATACTTCATTCACACTAGAATTCACATAATAGCTGTTTCGTTTGTTTAGTTAATTATATGTATATGTGGGAATCTTTGGGAAACGCACAATTCTATGTGATTCTAATTCTTGACATCATGACTCTCGATTCATAATTCATTCTTTGTTCAAGTGGCATCTGATGCTCATCCACAATTAATACAACTATAGTTACATAGGTTCCTATTATATTATATCAACCTGTTATATTAATATTTTTGTTAATATTTTGTCTTTTGAAAAATGTACTTGAACATATTCCTTTTCAGACCCAATAAAATATTTTACATGATTAGAAATGGACTAAATCCAATATTGATGGCTTAATTTATACATCACACTGGATGTATCTGTTTCTCTTTCAGAGAAAGAAAGCAAATACTCAAAAGAGAAGAAGAAAAAGAAGAAGAAGAGCAAAGAGGTAAAGTGGTTTTTGCTCATATTAAACTATAAGCAGTCATGTATGATGTCGTTGCAGCAAATTCTGTCCTTCCTCTTTCAGGAGGATGATAAATCCAAGAAGAAACACAAACACAAGAAAAAGGAAAAAGACGATGCTGCTGCAGAAGATGACAAAGAGAAAGAGAAAAAGAAAAAGAAACCCCGGACCAAGAAAACAGAAGTGGATGAACTGGAGGACTTTCTGGGCGGAGGAGCAGGATTGATTAAAAGAGATGACGGAGATTATGAAGAACTATAAAAGTTTTATTAGGAAATGGAGCCACTGAACAGCAACGAGGGACATGGTTATTTAAAAACTCCTGGTTCCTTGACTTGTATGTGCATAAAGCAGCATCTCCAAGCCATACGCAATACGCAAGGCTACCATCAACACCCAGGTAAAATCAAGGACTCTGGTACCTGTATGTTCCTTCTGACTGATTTTCCTCATCTGCACATCTGCTGTCACTTCCATTCTAACCAGTAAGAAAAAGCAAGGACGCCCATAAGTACGGTAGTGAGCTGTGGCGTAAAAATTAATAATTTGTTCTTTTTACTTTAACATGATTGAATATGTTGGGTTTAATATTTTTCTTTGATGCGTTCTCCAAGTGATCCACTCCAAATTAGCTGCTGTAAATAAGGTTGTCATTGTGTCTTAGTGTTTGTGTGGTTGGCGTAATAATTGAGAGCATGCTCAAAGTGATGACTGACTCCTTAGGGACTCCATATTGTTCATTATTTTTTTCTATTTCCTGTTTGTTGGCTGAAATGGGTTTAAGCAGTTCTTTAGTCTAGTCTCTCTAAATATGAGCAGTGAAGAAGAGTCCAGAGTGATTTGATATGAGAATCTTGTTGATTACTAACAGAGGAAATGACTTCTCCTCTTTGTTCACACTAAGCCGGCTCCATTTTTTTCTCTCCTTTGCTCCTTTGTCCACACTAAACCCATTTTTATCCAAAAGATTTGCTTTCTCAAACATTTGATTAATCTTGAGACATCTGAGTGTAGACTGACGTGCTGTGGCTGTGTGGTAAAGAAGTCAAGAAGACACATTTCACTTGCCTTTATCTCTGTGATGACCTTTTTTTAATTGACACAGATTGTCAGAAGGCTGCTTGGTCGGACTTTCTCATGGTAATAGTGATTGCACTAACTTTTAGGGTGAGCAGAACAGGAAATACCATCAGGTACTTTTTACAAACCACGATCAATTCACTGTTTACATTCAGAAAATAAAAATCCACAAAAACGAGGTGAATCATGAGCTCAGTTCTATTTACTTCCATTTACGGCTGGCATTCAAGTAGATATCCTATCTCCTATAGCCAAGGAGGTTGTTTTTCGTCTGAATTTGTTTGTTTGTCTGTTGGTTAGCAGGATTACACAAAAACTACTGGATGGTGGAAGGATGTGGCATGGGTTAGGAGAGAAGGCATTACATTTTGGTGTTGAACAGGGACAAGATCCCAGGTTTTTTTTCCAATTAAACTTTAAAGTTACAAGATGCAGGATTTTTCAACTTTATCATAGATTTGTTCGAGAATAATTCATGCATTTTAATGGACACATTAAAGACGTGTTCAGGGGACTGATATCTATAAGCGTGTGCGATTGGGTGCAGATCCAAATTTGAATTTGGTTTCATTAGGAGACTTTTGGGCCCTGATGGATGTATGTGCTCTACTGTGTGTCAGTCTAGTTTTGTATTGGCCAGACTGTATGTGGCGGTGGTCAGGCTCAGACTGTTAGTGGATCTCAGTCAGGCACTGTCATGTTTCCATGATGTCTCAGTGTGAATGGAGATGTTTTACAAAAGCCCTAACGTGGACAGCATTTTAGAAATTAGCTGGCTTAGTGTGGATCTAGTGAAACTAATAACAGTCTCTAGCCCAGCGTTGGCCTTTGTCACCACCTGAAGCTTCTTTGGCTGCTACGAACTATCTTCCTGCCCTGCGCCCTGCCCTCCTCTTTGCCACGCTAAACAGGCTACATATTCTACAAGTCCTCTTCATGTTTTCTGCTGTTGCCTTGATGGAGGTTACTACAAAGGACTGGTGTGCCGCTCTCCTCATGAACCATTATTAAGTGTTCTTAATGTAAACGATTTGGTTATTGGTGGGGTTAAGAATGTCCTAAAGCCTTTTTATTTGCTGAACAGAATCTGTCCTCCTGTTGTAAGATTGCAGTGAATCACTACGTGTGTTTGTCTTTTTCTTTACTTTTGTTTGATTCTCAGCAGACAATAACAACAACACCATTCTTCTAAACAAAGTATTATTTTTCTGTAAGTGCAACATTTCCAAAACACTCATGTCATTGTTTTATTCTTGTGTTATTTATTGCTTTGGCTTTGTTGTTGTTCTGACATGTCAGTTTTGTTTGTGTGATTTGTTCTGTCATCAACAGTCGAAAACATCATGTAGCTTTTTTTATGGCGTACCCTTGTTCACATTTGTGAACCTTGTCTTGTAAAACATTCTCCAGCGGTTTGTCTCCAGTGCTTTTGGGAGGAAAAATACAGTGATATGAACTTCTGCTCTTCTCGTGTGTAACTTCTTTTGTCCAGACGCCTCAAACCGTGGCTGAGACGGAGATTACGTTTAGTATCTTCCATGAACTGCATCACCAAAATGTTTCAAATGAGTAAAGCATTCTTGCACCTAAGAAAAATAATGTGTATTTTTAGACCTGTTTTGACAAGTGACAGATTTCATACATTTTCCATCTCCCATACACATGGTTACACTGTTGGTTTACAAAGAAATAATGTTTGATATTCCAAAGTTGAAACTATGCAGCATTGATCCTGAATACTGTACGCTGTTTGTTTGTTTTGTTTTTTTCGGGGGGGGGTTGGTTTGTCATGTGATTGAGGATAAATGCTGATAGCAGTTTCAAGCTAAGCATGACACTTAAATGTACAGTAAAAAGAGAATGTATAAAGTATATAAATATATATTCGAAGAGCTTTGTTCCAAAATGTTGTCTACACCATGCGGGAACATTGTCCCTGAAATCTTATCAAATGATTTTAACAGGAAAGTTCCAGAAGGGACGTGATAATAAAATCATGTTAACTAAAGTAATAATTCACTAATATTATACACTCAGTTGTCAGTTTGCACATGTCTATATAACTACAACTTTTGCAGTCTTAATGGACTTTATAGTGATGAGTTTGTGTGGATATATAAAGAGGTGATGATTCAACTGTAGAATAATATCAGTCATCAGTTTGTGAGATGCTGTTGAACTACATTGTATTATGCTGACAGGTATTCCTATATTATTATATCCATTATATAGTAATGAAGTGACACAGCAGCACCGATTACATCCTCTTAAAATGATATCTTCATGGAGGAATGTTGTGTTAGACTGTTAGTTTTAGCAAGGTGTTGCTATTAAACTGCCAGCTGAGTGTATATTAGAAATACTACATTTTGGATATTGTTTTCTGCATGGATGTATGATATTTAGGAATGAAATTCTTCATTTAATTTTCACCCCATGACATTTCTCATCTTTACACTGTGTGTCAGTTTGCTCATGTTTGGTTTGTCCAATAAATGCAAACTTATTTCTTCATAAAGGCTTTTTCATGTGTCGGTTATTTAAAATACTTTCACCTTCAAGAGGATTTTGGGAAAAAGAGATGCTGCGTTCTTATTCCGAGCTCTCATCCTACAGACGTGTCATCGTGTTTGATATTTATATATTTATATGTATATTTATCAATAGATTGTAAAGGTGATATTTTTTCCAAATATAATGTGTGATAACACTTTGAAACATGTATGGTATGAATCTATATTAATACGCAGTCTAAACTCTATGTTGGTAAAGATGGATTTTCTGCACATAATCCTTGAATCTCCAGCTTTTATTTTGAAAAGCCCACCGGCCAGTATCGGGCGCTCTCATTGGCTCCCGTGTTAGCCAATGAAACGAACTCTTGTTCGCGGACTTCCTCCTTCCATGTGAGCTTCTCTTCCGTGCTAACAAGCAGCCAGAGAAAAACATGGTAAGTCGAAACTAACTGAAGATATATTTATATATATGAAGCGAAACGTTTAATGTTAACGTGGATCCATGATGATACCCTCACCGGTGCTGCGTCACACTGTGGCCCCACCATGTTATAGTATTACAGCGAACTAACTGAACTATCCATGTTTGTGCACCACAGTTGTACATTTGTCTCCCAACGAGTGTGTAGCTTTGTTCACATGTTAACCACCGTTCAACATTAAATCTTATCTGTCGACAAATCTGAGAATGGTTTGATCAATAAAACTAGGATCAGTAAATCTTGGACATCTCATATGTTAAAACTACACGTGATCAAATACACAGAATGATGATGTAGATGTACACACAGTAAGAATCCGTTCACTGCACAGTGCACAGACATGACATATTAATCATAAGGTGTAGACATATTGATTCCGTAGATACTTCCAGAGAGGATAAATGATGAGAGAACATTAGCAGGGCTAATAGAATCAGTGTGAGAATAATAAGAACAGTGAGCAGCGCATCAGGTTGAGTCCTCAACTTTCACCCACCTGAACTTGCTGGGAAGAGGTCGCAGAGCCTTGAGGCTCGGTTCAGCAGCTCAGCCACTGAACAAACTCCTCTGCTTCATTATGGCGGCGGTGGGCGTCATTGTCCATGATGGACAGCAGTTTGCACAGGGTCACCACAGAGCCAGCTCGACTGATCCGTTTGTCTGGCCGCATCACAGAACAGAAGTCTGGCAACAACAGACTGCGATGATGTGAAAGCCCAGGAATCAAGAGCCAGCTCATCCCCTTCCTATAATGAACATATATCCATGTTCTCTGACCTCAGTCCGATATGTCTTCCAGCTACACCTCCACCACCAATTCCCTGGTCCTTATTCACCCGCAGTTGTTTTGATCCCCCTCCTGTCCACCCTTCACACACCCTCCAATGCCTGAATCAGTTTGCTTGAAAAACTTTGATGTGATGATCTTGATGTAATGTTGACAGCTTCGTCGGGAGGTGAGACTGAGGAGAGAGTACCTGTACAGGAAGGCACAGGAGGACAGGCTCCGAACTATAGAGGATAAAAAACAGAAGTTGAAGGGAGCACTTGAAGGTAGGAGGGCACGTTCAGTAGATTCTGTTCTACTCATTGTCTGCACTTTAGGATGTCCTAATCAAATCCTTGTTTTACATGATATTTTTTTTTTTCCCCTCTCTCCAGAAAATTTGCTTATTCCAACCGAGGTACGCAAAGACGCTCTGCAGCTACAGAATCTACTGGAGTATGACGATGAAGGGGCAGAAGGTTGGTGTCATGATGTTATCAACAGCATTCAGTCTCATTGCCCTGATTTACCTGTTTTTTTGGTTTAATTATGCATTTGGCATTTTGTCTGTGCAGGCATCAGCTCTCACATGGATGATGAATATAAATGGGCCGGAGTGGAAGACCCCAAAGTCATGGTCACTACGTCCAGAGACCCGAGCTCCAGACTCAAAATGTTTGCCAAGGTCAGGCCAGTTTCTCTGTGGTGACTCCCTCAGTTCGGACAGCAGCATGATATTGAGGTTGCTAGTGTGATTCAGGGGCACAGGGACAACAGTGAAGTCCACATGTAAACAAGCTTCTCAAAGGTCTGTGTATCTGTCACAGCTCACTGTCTGAGTCTGTGAGAAGGGAAGTGAACGTTGGGATGCAGATGTATATGCGTGTGGCGTAATATCTACAGTAGTTGACAATGAATGTTAAATATTTATGAGAACACATTGTTCTTTGGGCCATTTCTTAAAAATATTGTTTAAAGTTTCCTAAAATCAACAATGTAATTTAGTAGATATTATATTGTAAATGGAAACAGTGTTTAACTGTTACACCACCAAATATAGGATCATCTTTTAGGCAGTGCGCTGCTGCACATGCACTGAATATGCAAAACTGAAATTTGTGTAAGAATTCAGAGTAAAGTTTCTAATATAAAATGAGTCATACATGAATGATCAGTTTGGATTCAAATGGCAATAACACACACTACCAAATGATTTGCCTGGTACCTGATGACATTCAATCTAGAATATTTACTAAATTCAGTCCATCAACAATCATAATAATAATAATAATAATCATCCGTTCTTCCATTTTTGGCCATTGTTAAGGGCCTTAGACAGTCTGAAGCCAATCCCGGCATACACGAGGGGTGGAAGGCAGGGAAACCCCTTTGACAGGTCATCATATCTGTACAGAGAAATAATCCTGCATTGATTTGACATTACAGCTGCAGGGACTCTTAGTTCAATCAATGAAGTGTGAGGAGATATTGAGCAGAGAATAACATGATGACACGGTTTGGAACTCGTTACAGGAGGTAAAGCTGATGTTCCCTGGAGCCCAGCGCATGAACAGAGGAAACCATGAGATCGCTTCACTGGTGCAAGCCTGCAAAGCCAACAATGTTACAGACCTCGTCATCATGCACGAAACAAGAGGACAGCCTGGTACGCCTGTTAACTCACGTTCCAGATTTATGATATATTGATGCCATTTTAAATTGTGTTAACATGTACTACTATGAAGTATTCACCAACCACACTAAAGAGATGTCCCAGTCCCAGATCCCACTGTACTAATTCTTTGCAGGTTTTTACTCTGTTATGTTCAATTTGGAAAATGGTTGAAATACTGAGAACATAATACAAAGAACAATGATTGTTACACATTAGAACTAGAATTGTGCATATCACGGAGGTTACTATACGATATTGAAAATGATAAAATAATAATGCGAATGCCAATATAAATAGCAGATTAAGGTAAATTCAGGATAGAACAGCCATCGGGTAAAAGACGAAACAAACAAAGAGCTACACTGATTTCTTTAAAACTAACTGCAGTAGCAGTTTATGACCTCATGAAAGTTTATATCCACGTTAGTAGCCAGGTCATTTTAAAAAGGTTATTTCCACATTACCAGCCTCGTTATTTTAGAATTCTCATTTCATTAAACTAGAAAACAAAACCACCTGGATGGATGAACTTTGGATAATTAAGATTAAGATTCCTCTTTATTGTCCCACACACAGCATGCAACATGCAAACATGGGGAAATTTGACCTCTGTATTTAACCCATCCCGTGTGTACACACATGACACACGGAACACAGTCCACACAGTGACCACACAGAACAGTGTGAGCAATTGGGGGGGTTCTGTGCCTTGCTCAAGGTCATGTTGACCTTGGTAGTGCCCAGGAGGTGAACTGGCATCTATAATGACACCAGACATACTTCCTTTTCATTTTTAGACTCACTTCCTGCCATGGGGATGATGTCATTTGACGTATTTATCCAGTACATTGGTTCGACTGAAATATCTCAGAGATAGTGAACAGCTTGTCATTCTAATCATATGATGATGATTTCCTCTAGCACCACCAGGTTGACAGTATTCAGGACAGTAAACTGCTGTCAGCACAGAAGAACTGCACTTAGTAGTGTACCTGATACACTTTTTTGTTCTTATGTATTTACAGATGGCCTGGTGGTGTGCCACTTGCCATTTGGACCCACAGCTTATTTCACACTTTACAATGTGGTAATGAGGCATGATGTTCCTGACATAGGAACCATGTCGGAGGCCTACCCCCACCTCATTTTCCATAACTTCTCCTCACAGCTCGGCAAGAGGGTGAGTGAGTGCTGGACCTTGTGCTGTACGCCAACAAACACACACACACACAATGCTGATATCTTCTTTCACCACTTGTTTATGCGTACAACTAATTAATTCTGCTCACACAGGTATCGAATATCCTCAAGTATCTTTTTCCAGTGCCGAAGGAGGACAGTAGGCGTGTAATCACATTTGCCAACCAGGAGGACTTCATCTCGTTCAGGTCAGTGGGAAAGTGCCCCCCCCCCCCCCCTGCAAATGCTCCACAGATCTTGTGTTACAGTAATAATAGCAGTAATCCTTTTCTGTTGCAGACATCACACCTACAAGAAAACAGACCATAAAAACGTTGAGCTGACAGAAGTAGGACCCAGGTTTGAAATGAAATGTAAGTATGGAAAGGTAAAGAGTTCTGCAGTACAGAGATGGGTCCTGAACAGAAGCATAGTCAGTCTCAGCAAACATTGAACATAAATGGAACAAATGTCTAAACCTTTACTGTCAGGGGTTGAAATATTTCATCCAAGTGAAAGTTGAATATCAGATTGCTGCGTCAACATCGTCTCAACTAGCTTTAAATTTAAGACTCATTTTATCACGATAAGCAAACTTAACTTAATACCACATAACTTTGTTAAGGTGTGGATTTATATTTCAGTAAGTGTGGTTGTTTAGTGGTTTAGGTGCAACCTCAATCTCAACAGGTGTCACGTGAGAGGTTGTGACATCGACCTGCCGTTTGCCATCAGGTTGATAAAACATTTTGCAGGGATGTTCTGCATTTTAATTTAACAAAATTCATTGGGATGTACTGATGACTGACAAAATACACCATGTTAACAATGTTTCTACATTTTACTACTCAACCCAGGATTATTGTTTTACGAGAAAATGCTGAATTTATTTTTGCCAGAATGTCCTATTTAGTGAAGGGGCTGTATTATGTCTAGAAACTGAAAAAATCTATATGTAAGCCCATATAAGCTTTTCACAAATCAGTAAATACCAACAACAAAATTCATGGTAGAGATTTTTTGAGTTCGTTTTATTTTACCAGGCCTTTGTCTGCACAGAAATAAAATGTACAGTCTGATACCTCATACTGGTCCTTTATAAATCAAGGATCAGTGTTCAACCACTGGAAGAAGCCAACTGCAGCTAGAGCAAGGTTTTGTGAAAGTACTGTATCATGTGTGAAATCATCACTGTTCATAAACCACCCTTGAGGTAATCATTCAGGAACGAGGAAGAAAAAGAAGAAACGTGTCAAATTTCAGTCCGATTTCTATTTTCTGCTGCAACTCTTTCGAGATGTTTTAAGCGTTAACATCTGTTCTGTTGTTTAGTGTACATGATCAAACTGGGCACCCTGGAGAACGAGAGCACGGCCGACGTGGAGTGGCGTCACCATGCGTATACACACACAGCAAAGAAGAGGAGGTTCCTCAGTGTGCAATAAAGGATTTAAAAAGCTCCACCAAAGCTGTCATCAATAATTGTGTTTTGGACTTTAAAAAAGTGTTATGTGAGGTTTTTGTTAAAATAACCTTAATATGACTTAAGTTCAAGTCAGTTTTTGATTTAGTCAGCAACTATTGTCACCTTTGTAGTAAATGGGTGATCAGACTGCATCATAACCATCATGAGTGTCAGTATTTTTTAAATAAACTGTTTGGACAAGCTCTTTGTTAAACATAAGACATACATGACTGTATTATAACTGTTGTAATAAAAGTTGTAATAACCTGTAAGGGTGCAATGGTATTTTGCATTGTCTATAGCGGGAAAGAAAATCGACCTATCCATATATACAAACATAAACTATATTAACATATAATCGTACTAATTATATATACTTTTTGAACCATTTTTTAAATAACATTTGTGCATTTTACATGAGCAGCTGCTGTCGTCATTGAAACACAGTTCAATGAAGTACACAGAAGAACTGTTTACGTTAGCCAAGTAAAAAGGAATGCCAAAAAAAACAAATACTGAAAGAAAAAATGATGACACTGTTTCAACGTTTTCTTGAAATTCTATGTGGTCGAATTTCATTTTATTCTGTACAACTATCATGGTGGGTTTAAATATTCAATAGCAGGGGGGGGCATCTGTCCAAATACTCATCAGTTATTACATTATGTTTTGCAGTTATTTGCACCATTATTTACACATTTTTATTCTCTCCTTCCATTGCTGTATAGTGGGTAGCAGCACTTTAAGCCAAGAAAAAGTCTTAATTTTCCTTACCACCAACAAAACCATAAATATGCTTATCCATCCAAGGTTTGTTTCATGGAACACATGATATAATGGAACAGGTCCAACACTAAGTCAGTATTTAAAATCACCCTTATTTCCCCATGAATCCCTTCACAATCATACTTGAGCTTTGGACAGTCCCAGAAAATGAGCAGGATCTCCAATTTGTTTGCAATCTCTCCTCTCACTTGTTTCTTTTATTTATATCCATTTTTTTTTTTAAATATAAGGGGTTTTAAAACACCTCATTTTGAGCTTCCAGTAGAATGTCCTGCACGATGGGCAAATAAGAAATGCATGTTCCTCCTCACTAGATTTGTGACACAGGCGTTCCTGCAGAGTGTAACTCTTAGGTGCACGATGGACACTGTCTGCGCGAAGTTGTCGGTGCTCGGTTTGGCTGTGCAGTGTGATTGACGGGGACCGAGCCACAGCGGGATCCTACCAGCACAGCTGATGTTGTCAAATGACTGGACGCAGGCCACAACGATCGACCAATGGCCGCGCAGCGTTTCGGTTCTTGACAGATCCCGACTTCAGATGGAGAGAATTCAAGATGGCTGCTACAGGTAAGAGTGTGTTTGTATCCAAACTGTGTTACAACACTGTGAACGGAGCGCGGCTGCGTGTCCCCCTGTGACAAACACACGGGGATGGCAGAGTCGTGCCGCTCTCCCCGTGCGAGGTAAATGAGTCACGGTTGCGTATTTTGCGAGAAGTAGAAGTAGCCAACAAACTGATGCGGTGGTAACCCCCCCCCCCTCCAAGTTGGCTAACTTTAGCTGGCTAGTAGTAACGCTAGCATTAAAGCTCGACACAGTTACTGCTGCAGGGAGCTAGCTACTGAGTTAGCTGGGTAATCTCCTCTCCCATCCCCGTGAGCATTCAGCTAGCTAGCTAGCTAACACGGTTTCAGTGTACAAACGCTTCGATAACTAATCGTTGTTAGCATTATATCGCCGTTGTGTCACTCCTCAGCTACCCAGGACCACTCTTCGGCACTTCGGTCACTTAGCTTCAAGTCATTCAGCTTGTGCCCTCAGAGAAACGTGGCCTCTAAAACTCGAAATGTCATATTGCACAGCAGGCAAATCCCATGTTAAGCTAGCTGGCTAACGTCAGCTAGCATTAGCATCATTCGAGTTATTAGCAGGTTTGTTTTACAACTTATGACTGTCAGCGATTTATTTCATCGTAGATGTAACTTCCTGCTTGTGTTAGTTTTGGTCGTGTTTGCTATCGGGACTGTAAGCACCGGTGTCGCTCGCACAGCAATATGCTTAAATGTCCCGTTAATACTTGAGAACGATACGTGCACAGCCAGACTTAATACAACATGTTAGCAATCTTGATAATTGTGTTCCTCTCGTGTCTGAGAATCACTGCGTGCCCTCCATGAATGTTAAAAGTATATCTGAAGTATCCTGTAAATCCAATGACGCTGTGAAGTCAGGAGTTCTAAGTGAACTGGTTTTGTTGTCAGAGGCACACTATGTTTCTGAAAGTGTTTGCCATCGATTTGTCTCCACACAACTTAAGAGCAATGTTAAAAGAGTGCAGATGCATTTCATCCTCAACCCTAGTTCCATGCTAATTTCATGTATTAGCCTTTAATAATGTAATTGTTAATGATGATAGCAATTGAAATAGTCGAATTCTGACCTGGGTAGTTCTAATTTATTATCTATGATAGAAAATGCCCCTTTCCCTGACAATTGGCTCCGTTATATTAACGAAAGGTTTTTTTGTCCTCTAACTGAAATATGTCCACGTTGTTTGCAGTTCGTAAGTAAAGAGGAAACTCCTGGTTCAAGCTGCTGTGCATGAAGCTGCCCTGAGTTTTCAGTGTTGCAAGTGCAAGTGCTACGTCCCCCAGCTCCTCTTGCATCTCATCATGTCCTCCACCTCTTCCTCCTACTCCTCCTCGGGGGAGACTACTCCGGAGGATGTACCCCAATGTTTGGGCACCATCCGAGTCTACCTCCCCAACAAACAGAGGACAGTGGTGAGATGATTGGTTCTATAACAATGATTGCGTGGCATGCAATACATTCAAAGAATAAAAATATGACTGTGTTGTAACTGGTTGAGTGTGTGATAGTTGACAGATACCACCTCTGTGGAATTTTTGTGCCAGCACTGTGGGTTGTAGGTGTAATTTCTCACACAAAATTGTACATCCATCATAACACATTAATGAGTAAGCTAGTGGACAGTAGGTGTCAAGTTTCGCAGATGGTGCTTCCTGCCATCTGTGGCTTATTTGACGCATTATTCCTATCAGACATTGATTTAACTATTCTTAGAAATAGTTGATAAATTGTGCTCTCCTGGTACCATCATGCTTAATTGATATGTTAGAGATTATGCTGAATGTGCGTGGTAGTTCAAGTTGTGTTGTCAACAATGTGTTCATGTTATTCATATCTCCCTGTAAGACATCAAACCACATGTTCAAGCGTTTCAAAAAAAGGTTAATAGTAATTTGATTGGTAGCACAGACATACAGACTATAGTTGTGAAAAGTCTTGTGTGGTAAATGCCATTGAAGCAGCAGCTGTGGTTAACTGAACTTCCCGGTGTTGTCCGTCAGCTTTGTTGCGGTGAGAACAGGAATGTAACATTGTTTGGGGTGAAAAAAAGGGATCTATTCTCTGGACTGAAGTTTTAGTCTGGAAATCCTCTGTCACAACATAGGTCATTTGTAGTGTCAACATTAACTATGTACGTGACTGTCATTTATGCTTCTTAGTACTTTGAGCTTTGAGTATGCCTCCATGTTATCTGTGTAAATGTCAATCCAAAGTCACACTTGTACTAATACATTTTCCTGTTAACAGGTAAATGTTCGTAAAGGACAGACTGTGCACGAGAGTCTAAACAAAGCACTCAAAGTGAGAGGCCTAAGCCAAGACTGCTGTGCTGTATTCCGCCTTCTAGAAGGGTAAGATTACATTATTGTCTGCTGAATGTCCCCATACACCATACAGGGATAATGTGCTGCCTTCTTCATCACCTACATAAGAGATTAGGACAGATAGATAGATAGAGCAAAAGAGCATAAGAATTATAAAAAGTCAAGAATAAGTACATATTATCTGCAGTGAAATGAGATACCAGAGATTACTACAAAGCTGTCACTGTAAGAAAGTATGTGCTAATGGAGATATTGACAATACATATAATTTAAGTACAAGATGATTGGAAAATGTGAGGTGAAAGGAGTATAAGGTAACAAAAGTGGTACAGCAGATGTTTGGTGTATTTTAAAAAGTGCAAGATTAGATATTATTCTATAATATAAAAATATGAAGATCAAATGAAGATAAATAAATGAACATATGTTAAGACACAGATGTAAGTGTGCTAATGGCTAACATAGCCTGTAATGGTGACAGTCTGGCAGCCTAGTAACAGATGTGGGTGATTAATGCAATTAATCACTCTCATTTCGCCATGTCTGAGAGGAGTTATAAAGTAGTATGAAGAAGCAACTGCAAACAATTGTCACAAGTCCCAGGGCTACATAATTGTACCAAGTGGTTTGCTGATACATTTTGAGACTAAAGGCAGAGTATGAAGTGTTGTGCAGGCTTATCTCATGTATTTAAGTTTTGATTACTTTGTTAAACAAATAAGTATAAATGAGAGTGTGTGTGTCTCTGTGTTTGGGGATAATGCACATATCTCCCATTTCAATTGTCAATACTATATGATACTTGCAGATTTGTATTGCAATTGTATTAGAAGTATTAAAATCTATATTACCATTTACATATTTAATACTAGAACATGGGGAAATAAATATCATCATCAGATGGTGCCCTTTTCACACCAATTATAGTGCTGCTTGTTTCCAAACAATTCAACCATACTAACTGTGAACTGATGAATATTTAAACTTTAACATTACTTTGATAACTTTCCAGGTTTATGCAAATCATTCATTCTTGATCGTCTCTCCTATGAGATTTGTTGGTTCTGGTTCAAGTATTTTTCATATCAAAGAAAGACTACACATCTTAAATCAGTTTTCAGTGACTTGACTCAAGGTTTACTAAATGCTGACTCCAGTTAGCTTTGGTTGATGTCATTAGCGTAGAGGTTCACACACCTGTTCTAACTCACTGTGAATGTTTGACCCTTGTATTTATATGGACGAGAACAACATGAACATTTGTGTGTTATCTACTTTATAATTCCACAAACGTATGTGGAATGCATATCCCATGAACTGTTCATCTTATCAACTTCACACTTTGCTGAAGGCCCAATTAAAAATGTAATTACTACTGAAACCCTGTATAAATATACATTCTATTGAAATTGTTGCTTTCTAAAATAAAATAGAATATTGATGAACCAGTTATTGGCACTGATTTTTGATTAAATTGTTTTGATAAGCGACCTGCCTGACAAAGATTTAAAAATCTTTACACTGCTCAGTTGACTTGTTGGCTTCACACCTCATATCCAGAGATCATCTCTCTTTAATAAAGACAAAGCAAGTTCAGATCAGTGTGCATCACCTCTTTCAGGCAACACGTACAACCATCTTTATTTTTTTAAACTTAAATTAAAAATGTAAGCATGTTGCTGTAACTTGATTTTCACTCAGATGACCACAAGAGCTATATTGAAGTAGCTCTGTTTCAAAAACTAACGTTTGAGCTGGTTACCTCTCCAGAACAGACCGTAAACAATCAGTGGAAAAGGGAAGGTTAAAATTGAGAAAATCTGCAACCTGAGTTTTTTTCCATTTAAGTCTTTTCCTTTTTGTGTCTTTGCTTCTTTAGTCGTAAGAGACTGACAGACTGGGACACAGACATCACTCCTCTGGTTGGAGAGGAACTTTTAGTTGAGGTCCTTGATGATATTCCCCTAACCATGCACAACTTTGTAAGTAGCTGGCAAACACACATACCCTGTTTTTTGTTTTTGTATCTCCTCTAAAATACCTTATACTACAGAATGCCAGCCTATCCAGAACTTGAAAAACAACACACCTTATATTTTGGGTTTTGTATTTTGCCTATTTTTTTACCTTGGCTTCTTTGTCTTTGCAGGTACGGAAAACCTTCTTCAAGCTAGCTTACTGTGATTTTTGCCACAAGTTTCTTTTTAATGGCTTCAGATGTCAGACATGTGGCTACAAATTTCACCAGCACTGTAGTATCAAGGTCCCTACTGTTTGCGTCGACATGGATACTGTGAGCAAGCGGTGAGTTTGAGACGAATTCTGTGCTTGTCTAAGAATAATTTTCTCCTTGTCACTGTTTCTGGTACAGGTCTTCCACACGTAGTATAAGTCTCCTGAACCTCAAATATTTGTTCATAATTAAACAAAACTGCACTTGTTATCGTAGATGGAATTTTCTATATTGGTGTTTGACTAAAAACATCACTTACAGTCCACTTACTAGCTTCATATTTTACTGTTGTTTAGAGTTAATACTACTGTGTCTGGGGTCAAGATTTGGTGTAAAGGATAAGAAATATCCAACAAATATAAAACAACCATGCTCTTGTTGTAAAAGGATTAAACATTTCTGCTGCAAGCTGACAGATGCTGGTGCTGGTGCTACAGTGAAGGGAATTTGGATGTAAATCATCAGAAGAAATATGTAGCCCTTTTTTAATTATAAGATCCACAGATGTGCATGATAGGGTAAAAATTTGTAAATAGTTGATTATCACATTAGTTTGTTTGTTATTTCACCAGATGGAGATTTTACTGTCCTTAATTTTCATATTCGATACTATGAGATCAGAAAGACCTTCGTCATCAAACAAAAAGTAGTTGATCAATATGTATTATTGTTAGCAGGCTTTCACTTTTAGGTCCATGTTGAAAAAGCAAACATTTCACATAACCAGAGCCTCTCCATCGGGATGTCCTTTGTCTTCCCCTTTTTTTCATTGTGTTTCATTTTGTGTCATGAGTCTCGTCCCCTCACTTTTCCCCTATGTTTTGTCCAGGTCTGATTCTAATCCTTCCACAGATGAGTACCCACAGATACTATTGCCAGAAAATTCCCCTTCACAGAGTAACCTAGCCTTTACCCCAGAGCCTGCTGGGTAAGCTCCCTCATGAAGTAAATTATGTTTAAGCTTAAAGGACAGTAAGGTCATAGTCTAAAATTGTAAATACAAATAGTTGATTATTTCAATTCATTACACAGTATGGACCTCTTGTCCCCAACCTCGGCCTTTCACTTCCCCATGCCTGGAGGTGATGGCCAGGGTCTACAGAGGCATCGCTCCACCTCCACTCCCAATGTTCATATGGTCAGCACAGTGGGCCCTGTTGGTGTCAGCATCATTGAGGTCAGTGACCACCCATGTTTAGATTGTTATTATTGCAACTGTCTTTTATTGGAAAATGATTAAAGACGGGCTAACCAGCCAACTGCTGTTCACCCAAACTGTTCAGCCATTATCAGCTCTTCTTAGCTGAATGGACCTTTTGATACAAAAGTCAATACAGCGTTTCTATTTAATCTGCTAACAATTAGGTCATTTTGTCAACAAGTAAGCTAAATACAGTTTTTAAACCCAGAATACTTATTTAGGCCTAAAGTAGAAACTGAATATTGTTGCAGTCTATAAAAAAAGAGTATCTTTATTACATGTGAAATATTTCCAACTAGTTGACCAAACTTTGATCCATAGGAAATATACAACAAATAATTATGTTGCTCCAGTTTGGTGCCATGGAATCT